CCTGTGACGTGTCCTAACGTGTTCGTGAATATCAAGAGCACTCCAGGCTGATCGATTTCTTGATGGGATTGGATGAAGGAGCCTTTGGAGTGGTTCGCATGCAAGTCCTGGCTATGAAGCCGACACCCAACTTGCCCGAAGCTTTCAACATTGTCCTCAACACTGAACAACAGAAGCTGATTTCACAAAACCGAAAACCATCACCTGAAGCGGTAGCTTTTGTAGCCCATGGTGAAAATAATCGAGGGTCTCGTGGAACGGGGGAGCAGCGTGAAAGGGTTCGCTGCACACACTGTCAAACGACGGGGCACCTCAGGGAAGCTTGCTGGGAATTGATTGGGTACCCGCCTCGGGACAGGCAAAATGAGAGACAAGGCAGTGGTGATCGCCAAGATCGGCAAGGCGATAAATCTCGACGTCGACCTAGAGAGATGAATGATGGGACTCGGGTTGAGCAGCAAAGTCGAGAGCCAAGAGCTTCGCAAGCCGAGGCTGGCTCAACTTAATCAACTGAAACTTTTCTTTGGCCTGCAGGATAAAGGGTCAGATGATCATGATCCGGCAGCTCACATGGCAGGTATTTTCTCTAGTACTACTGAATGGTTGATCGATTCTGGGTGCAATGAGCACTTTACGATGGATGAGTCCTTATTGTCGGGTAAAGAAGCACAGTTAAATAGTCAGCCAGTTCGTATTCCGAATGGCGAGAGCATCCCAGTTAAGCACGTGGGTTCGGTTATTCTGCAACCGGGTTTTGTCTAAATCGAGTACTTCACGTATCAGAATTTCAATGTAATCTGATTTCTATGAGTAGATTAACGAAGGATAACCACGTGGCTTTGATATTCCTTGATGGTTTTTGCATCATCCAGGACTTACGCTCTAAGAAGTTGATTGGGAAGGGTGAGCTCAGAGATGGTCTTTATTACCTGCGCCTGTTTGGAGCAGGGAAGGCACAGGCTTGCAGTGTTCAGCATAAAAGGTCTGTGGAGGTGATCAACTGGCATGCGCGATTGTGTCATCCCTCTCCGGAGAAGCAATCATATGTTAGTCGTTTGATGTCTTTTAGTTTGCAGTCGAATAAGGGCTCCTGTCACTCTTGTTTACGGGCTAAACAGTCTCGTCTCCCTTTTCAATCAAGTACTATAAAGACTATAGCCAGCTTTGAACTTATTCATGTAGACCTCTGGGGAGGTTACAAGATTGCCTCATTGAGTGGTGCACACTATTTTTTAACAATCGTGGATGATTTCACTCTCGTGGGGTTTGGGTATATTTGTTGCGCTACAAATCAGATGTTGAGAATTATTTGCTGCAGTTCTTCCAGATGGTAAAGACGCAATTCAAGTCCCTTGTGAAACGCTTACAGGAGGACAATGGGTCCGAGTTCAGTTCGGAATCCTTGCGCAACTATTATGCCCGCGAAGGCATGCTATTGCAAATGTCGTGTACAGACACGCCGCAACAAAATGGAGTAGTGGAGAGAAAGCATCGACACATCCTGGATACGACTCCTGCACTCCGGTTCCAAGCGAGCTTGCCACTGCTTTTTTGGGGTGAATGCATCCTCACTGCTGTCTATTTAATTAACAGATTACCGACGGTAGCCACCCGGAAGGCTCCCTTCGAGTTGCTCTTTGGAAAAATGCCAAACTATAGTCACTTGCGTGTATTCGGATGCTTAGTTTATTACAAAGATACACATGCCCACTTGGATAAATTCGGGGAACGAGGACAAGCGGGTGTGTTCTTGGGGTATGCGTCAAGTCAGAAAGGTTATCGAATCTATGATCTAAGGAAGCGTCGAGTTATCACGTCTCGTGATGTTCAATTTCACGAAGAAGCCTTCTCATTCCAAGAGGCAGTCAGCCGTGAGTTGCACTGGATACCTCGACCAGTGTTTAGTGCGATGGATGACGAGAACGCTATTGTGGAATTCAGCTCGCCAACGTCGCCATCACCACTTGGGACTGCAGCTGCCGAGCACGTGGTGGAGAGTTCGGGGATGCAGGAGGAGCCTCACTGCAGTGAGGGAGCAAACCATGGCAACGTCGATCCCGACCGGCACTGGTTTGATAGAAGGAGTTGACCCAACCAACTTGGGCACATTAAATGCCGACTCTCAGCCCCCAACTAGTACAGAGGCAGCAACCATTCCTGTCTTGCGGAAAAGTGATCGTCATCGCTCAAGACCCAAATATTTGGAAAATTATATCACTACTCTACCATCCAACCAGTCACAGGGAAGCACCTCGAATTCAGTTCACTATCCTTTAGCTGCTTGTGTAAGTTACGATGGTTTTAATCCACAATTTCGTGCTTTCCTTGCATCCATTACACGCGATGAGGAGCCGCGCTACTTTCATCAAGCTTTTCGTAACCCGCGATGGCGAGAAACAATGCGCTAAGAGATTCTAGCCCTTGATAAGAATGGGACGTGGACTCTGGTGGATCTACCTCCTGGCAAACGAGCCATTGCAGCCAAATGGGTGTACAGAATAAAATACTTCCCCGATGGCAGCATCGAGCGCTACAAAGCTCGCCTCGTGGCCAAGGGATACACGCAGATCGAGGGCCTGGATTTACACGATACCTTCGCCCCTGTGGCGAAGCTAGTAACAGTTCACTGTCTTATCGATGTGGCAGTCAGTCGTGGTTGGGATTTGCAGCAGTTAGATGTTAATAACGCCTTCCTCCACGGCGATCTTGATGAGGAGGTTTGCATGGAGATTCCTCAAGGGTTTCTTACACTAGGTGATACTAGAGTTTGTCGCCTGCACAAATCGCTTTATGGGTAGCGACATGCATCTCGCAGTGGTATCAGAAGTTCACAGCCGCTTTGACAGAGTTCAGCTTTCGTTCTTCACCGGCAGATGCATCACTTTTTATTCACAAGAAGGGGAATTCGTTCGTAGCAGCTCTTATCTACGTAGACGATGTTTTATTGACTGGCAATGATTTGCCCTTCATGACCCGGCTAAAGAAATTTTTTGATGATCGCTTCAACATCAAAGATCTTGGCCCTCTCTGATATTTCTTGGGGATTGAAATGACCCGAACTTCTACAGGTGTCGTCCTCAGTCAGCGCAAATACGTCCTGGACATTTTGGAGGATGCTGGGGTTCAAGGATCGCGACCCAGCGCCTTTCCCATCGAGCAAAATCACCAACTAGCTGGTTCGATAGAGGACAGGCTGGCGGATCCTTCACTTTATCGCCGACTTATTGGCAGGTTACTCTAATTGACTATCACTCGACCGGACATCACCTACGCGGTCAACATTCTCAGTCAGCATGTCCAGGATCCTGGTCAGATGCATCTGGATGGAGCATTCAGGATTCTCAAGTATCTCAAACAATCTCCCGGACAGGGACTTTACTTCCCGTATCACAATCCACTGCAGCTCACTGCCTACTGCGACGCGGATTGGGGAGGGTGTCAAAGCACCCGACGGTCTACCATAGGGTACTATATCAGCCTTGGTGGAGCTCCTATATCATGGCGCATGAAGAAGCAACTAGTAGTGGCACGCTCTTCTGCAGAGGCCGAATACCGTGCCATGGCGAGTATTGTTAGTGAAATTATCTAGATGTGCTGGTTATTGCCAGGGCCGACCAAGAGGGTGTGCTGGCCCGCCCTCCGGCATAGGGCCTCAGAATATTAGGGGCCTCTACTTAGATTCGTTAGTTACCGACCGTATATTGTAGGTTGTATTTTTAGTGTATGATTGATTGATTATGAGTATGATGATGTGTTTAATAGATAATTTTAGCTATAATAACAATTGAAAAGGATCTCATGGAGAATACGAAAATCTGAAAAATAATAGATAATTTTAATTTAAACAATATAGAAAGATATTACATTTTGAATAATGTTATTATAATCATTTTAGTTTTATTATAGTTAAAGGTCGATTTGGACCACATCTAGATTTTGAAATAAGGCCTCCACGATCTAGTAGACAACCCTGCACCCACATCTCGATCAATTTAGACTATTTTCATTTCTCCATTCAATTTTTGCGCTATATCCATTTTCTCTTTCTTCCAGATTTACTTTCCTCCCTACTAGGGCTGGGAATTCGGTCTTGGTTTCTTGGTCAAACTGGAAACGAGATCGTTTATCCTGATGTAATCTTTTTCTGAACTTAAGTATTTTTTTACAATTATTTACTAATTTTTAATTTTGATAAATTTATGGGGAAAAAAATTAGGGCCACATTTTAAATTTTCGAACAGGGCCTCCAAATATCATGGGACGACTCTGGTTATTGCAGGAGCTCGACGTTCCACAAGATGGTCCGACCCCGTTACACTGTGATAACCAGGCGGCACTACATATTGCCAACAATCCCGTTTTCCACGAACGGACTAAGCATGTGGAAATGGATTGTCATTTCGTTTGAGAACGAGTGCAGTCTGGACACATTTTGCCGGTCAAAGTGCACACTGATCTTTAGCTTGCTGACCTACTCACTAAGGGTCTTGGTGCAGCCCGCTTTCGTGAATGAAGTTGCTCGACTGAAAGGAAGAGGAACCGGGTCACTGCTCTTAAGAATAGTGCTGGGACGTGGGAGGAAGATTCCTCCTTTTCAAGCTGCATGTTCGTGATCTCCACGCTCCAGCTTGTGGGAGACTATTGGGCCGAGAACGAGTTGCCGACCCAGCAGCCCAGCATGCAACGACAGCCCATGCAGGGCACGTACACTCCGTCTCCTTGGAGGAGTTGGCAACTCAGGATACATGTGATACTGTAACCCTAGACGATAGTGAAATAGGGTATAAAAGCTTTGTAAAGGCCTTGCGTCACATCAAGCAATAATATCATCGTCTTCTCTCATGGATGTACGCCTCACACACCATGAGGAAGAACCACATTAAATCAAATGTTCTTTAAAGTTTTCGTACAATTTCTCATTAATCTCCAAAATTTCATATTTATATTATTGTATATGGTTGTCCCATCTTGTATATATTTATGAAGAAAAGGTAAATTCACAAATTTAATCATTTTTAGTTTTACTTTTATTTTCATTTAGTTAGACGACTGGTCTTGTGAATAAATGGGTCGGCCAACGGTCGAATTGCATCTGAGGAAAAACTAGAACCCCAGAGCGAGAGAGAGAAAAGAGCGATGGCGAAAGGGAAATCGTCAAACAGCAAATCAAAGTGGAAGAGAAAACCGAAACAGACCGAAGCCCTAATACCTGAACCACATCAAGTAGAAGAAGGAGAGCAAGTCGACGGAAAGGGGAACACCGAAGAAGACGACAACAATGGAAGAAAGAGATTCTTTGCTTGTTATCTCCTCACTTCCCTCTCCCCTCGTTCCAAAAACTTCACTTATATCGGGTTCGTAAAAGCTTCTCCATTTGATCTTCATCCAGATCCCTCATATTCATTGTCCGATTTCACTCTTTTAGCTTTCCCCTTCAAAACCCTGTTCCCCAATTTGAACATAGACCACCTAAGAAAGAAAAGCATCGGCCTTTTTTTCATTTCGCTTCATATTCGTCTGATCTTGATTGGATACTCCTCGAGTGATTGGTTGATCGATTTGATTCTATGCAATTTGCAGATTTACAGTAAATCCGCGGCGTAGAATCAGGCAGCACAATGGGGAAATCAAGTGTGGGGCGTTTAGGACAAAGGGGAAACGACCCTTGGCAATGGTGTTCTGCATCTATGGCTTCCCAACTCAAGTCTCTGCTCTTCAGTTTGAGTGGGCGTGGCAGCATCCAAGGGAATCGAAAGCCGTAAGGGAGGCCGCGTTGAGTTTCAAATCCTTCTCCGGAGTTGCTAATAAAATCAAACTTGCCTACACTATGCTTGGCCTTCCTCCTTGGCAGAGGTGTGATGGGAAACTAACAGATAACAGAGTTTCAATTTGTTTGATTTTGTGGGTTTACTTAGTTATAGATCGATGGTCTTAAACTAATGTTGTGTTTCTACCTTCCGTGTGATCAGATTGAACCTGACTGTAAACTATTTCTCAACGAAGTACGAAAATTGTTCCCCTAGTTTGCCTAGTCTGCCGCTGCATATTAAGGTCCGAGTTTGCCCCATGGATGAACTCCCTTGCTACACTGGAACATTTGATGACGGCTTGCTTGATGATGGTGAGGATGGAGGGGAGTATGATTTTGATGATGACAATGTGTGCGAGAATGTCAGTCACTTGAGTAGAATTGCAGAGGAGAGTGTTGTTGAACGCGAGGAAGATGGAAAAGAGCAGAGTTCATTTCAAGGCAAAGAACGATTGGGGAATGGTGAAGATGATGAAGAATCAGATGACAGAAGTGATATGAGTGGAAATGGGGTAAAAAACACCAGGGATAATGCAGTAGCTCATCTCCTTCCCGTGGATTGTGCAGGTAGCATTGACATTGGTTACAAAGAAAACTGGGGATGGTACAATGAAGAACCTAACTGGAGACACACAGGTTGTTCCCATGACCCAGAACTAGATATTCATATGCATAGTTTCGACTTCGATGGTACACCCGGGAGAAGAATTGCTCCTGTTCTTGGAGAGATGGCAGATGGGAATGTGTTGGTAGTGATAGATGATGGGAGTGATTCGAAACTGGGATCCTTGAAAAGGAAAGAATCAATAAGTAGAGCTGTTGCTGGCGAAGATGCAGCACCAGCTATCCGGAATTGTGGTCGTAAAATGGAGGTCATAGATTTGTTGTCCCCGTCTCCAGAATGCGCAATGTGGACAATCAGCAAGAGGTCAAGATTTTCTGGTGCTGTTTCTCCCAAAATCATTGACTTGACTTGACTTGACATTAGCAAGTTCTCCTTTTTTTGTCCAACGATTTGGTGTTGGAGTGATATAATAAGCAATTAGCATATTCACATTGTATGATAATAATGCTATTTCGACTGCTGCAATTTGTCCATTGTCCCAAAGTTGTAAGCTAAGAGTGAACATATGGACGGATGCTGTACAAGTATTGTAACTGCTTTTTATCATTTTAACATATAGATTCAATAACGCAGTTATCAAAACAAGAGTTTCGGGTATTCCAGAGACGTACATTGAAGCTGAAGTACAGCAAAACATTGAAAAGGGGGAACAAACAGTGAACACAACAACAAAGAGTAAAGAGCTTTGCCAATTCACAAAACTGTACAGAAATGAGATCTCAGAGAAACTGGCAATTATCATCTCGTCAAGGGACAAGAGTGAGTTGCTGAGCTATGCTGGTCACTGTGTCATTCATGCAGCGACGGAGGAAGATACTGTTCTCCTTCCTGCTGGGCTGGTTCCTTTTCTCCCTGCCAAACCCAGACAATATCATTGAGTGCAGGTCGCATGCCATCTTTCACTATCTTCTGATACTCCAATGTATCCCCATTTGTTTTCTTCACTTCCACCAAATGAAAGTTTGGAGCAACTTCAAAGATTTCAGCATCAATGGTCAACAAACCCTTCCTACCCTCGTTTACTCCTTCCATCCTCAGTAACCCTGGTTCTCTCTTCGTCACCTTCATGTTCAGAAGCTTGCCGGTATCCTCAAGTCTAGAAATTATGACCGATGCAGGCTGTTTAGAAGTAAATCTGGTTTCTTTTCTCAGTAAATCTTCTTCAAAGAGTCCAGACAGATCAAACCCAGCTGAGAGAGAGATTATATCAAATGCATTCAAGTTTGAAGGCTTCACCAGTTGTTCTTGTTTTGCTTCCTCGAAGAGCATGCTGCTATTGTTGCTAGACGGACCTGATCCATCTCCACTCAAAGGAGCCATAGCTTGGGTTTCAGCTTCTTCCAGTTTTCTCTGTTTGTTGGAGCTCAATCCTTTCCTAAACCAGGAACTTTCTTTAATCTTGGCCATGGATATCCTTGTATTAGGATTCGGATCCAGTATTTTGGACAAAAGTCTTCTAACTTCTGGGGCAAACCAATTAGGACATTTGAATTCAGCTTTCCCGATTTTCCTGTACAACTCCATCAGGTTGGAATCATGAAATGGCAGATAACCTGCCAATAGCACATATAGAACCACCCCACAAGACCATATATCAGCTTTGGCTCCATCATAACCTTTCCTGTTGATAACTTCAGGAGCAACATATGCAGGGGTTCCACAGGTAGTATGAAGTAAACCGTCTTGGCGCCTGGATTCAGCTAGGGCACTTAATCCAAAATCCGAAACCTTTAGATTCTCATTTTCATCCAACAACAGATTCTCTGGCTTTATGTCCCGATGGTAAACACCCCTGCTGTGGCAGAAATCAACAGCATTGATCAGTTGTTGGAAGTACTTCCGAGCAGCATCTTCTTTCAACCTTCCTTTAGCAACCTTGTTGAAGAGTTCACCCCCTTTAGCATATTCCACAATGAAGAAGATCTTGCTTTTGGTAGCCATGACCTCATAAAGCTGAAGCACATTCGGATGTCTAGCAATTCTCATCACGGAAATTTCTCTCTTGATTTGATCAGCAAGCCCAACTTTCAAAACCTTGTCTTTATCAATCACTTTTATCGCCACACTCTGGTTTGTTGTAATACTCCTTGCATAATAAACCTTAGCAAAAGTCCCTTGACCAAGCAACCTCCCGATCTCGTATCTTGCGGTCAATACGGTCGGTTTATGATCCATCCTTGAGTTAGTAATACAAGCACACATTCGAAAATAAAACTACTACCCTGTAAAGCCAAATATTACGCAATCCACAAAGTAATACAAACTACTAGCAGTCGAAGTGGGCTTAATCAACCGTCTTCAGAAAAGTCCAGCATCGTCGTTATATTGGGAACTCTGTAGCAGCTATTGGAACCGTGATCATCGTGGCGACGACTGCAACCAGTTAAAGAAGCAGAATTTACAGTACCAGTCTCATCATATGTGAATAAGGGGGAAAAGACCATGGAAGCCACATATTCATGGCCTTGAGAGACTGGGTTCTCATCAGTTAGGCACATCATGCAGCATTCCCTACAAGGATTCTGTTTCTGATTCTATTTCTTTCTCTCCCGAGAAAGAAGAATAAAATGAAGAACCCTGAGAACCAAGTGCTTTTAGAGATACAGCCCAGAAGACTGCTCCCCTTCAGCACCACAATGGCACAATCCCAAGATTCTAGCTTGTCCCCTGAAAATTTAACAACCAGTAATGGAATTTGTTAGAAATTCAAACTCTGAAGGCCGAAAACGACATACAGAACAGAGCAGCACAAAAGGGGAGAAGAACATCGGCGGAGAAATCAGATTCCAGATTCATCACCTAAAGAAAACAATCCATTATTTTAATCTTCTTTGATCGCCCCCAAGGGATCTCAAAAAACAATCAAACAAAAAAAGGAACAATTTTGAATCCAAAATTCCTCCTGAATCTGTCACAGCTGCAAAGGGTATCATCAAAATCGCTAAGAAGGAAACAACAAGCAACGTAGACAGCTTGCCAATGACACCGCCAATAACAAAGTGGACCACCGCAATCAAGGGAAAAAGAGAAGCGCTCACCGCTCAGCCAGAGAAATTAAGACTATAGAAGGCAAAATCTACCTGATTGATATCGCCGGCGATTGGAAGTGCGGACGAACTCCGAAGGGGATCGAAAACTAGGAGAGGGGAAGGAGGGGAGGGGAGGAAGAAGAGGCGAAAGGAAGGAAGGAAACAAAGAAGAGGAAAGTTCGTTTCCGCCTTGGCTTCGTTACTATTGCCTTTTATTCTTTGTAAAAAAACTAATATTTTAAAATGATATTCTTTTTTTCTATAAATTTGAATTTTCCTATTTATTCAGTAAATAAAAAATATCTTACTAAATTGATTTGAAAATCAAAATTATAAGAATATATATATTATTTTAAATAATAATGAGAGCAACTGATTGTGACAATCATGATGTCACAATCATGATGTCACACTCGCGCCATACAATTGTAGTGGGGATTTTTTATTATCAATACTTTAACAAATTAGAGATGAGCATATCCATAAAAATTATTATTGTTGTAGTTGATTATTAAATTCATTTAGATCATTGGTAATCAGCGGACTAACGTACATTTCGTCTACCATGTAATTCTCTTAGTTGTAGGTTGAATGATGGAATTGAACGAGGTAATTTCGCTTAATTGTCTCAAAATGGATCACTTGAGTCAAATTATCCTGTTTGGAAACACATAATAATGATGCATTTATTGGGCTAAGACAATTTGAATTGTTTTATTTTGTATCAATTTACATTGAGAAAGGGAGGGACCAATATTCCGAAATGATACATCATTTTGAGATGAAGTTATTTCTAGACAATTGAGTCAATCCTAAATTCCTAATGACCCGTCAAGTTTATTGTGATCAACTTGGATGTTGAATTCTAAATTAATTCTTTGTTTTTTTTTTTTACAAAAGAATTATAGGAGTTGGAACCTTCTTTATACATCTCATTTAAGAAAGGAATAGTTTTGCTTCAATTAGTTTTTATTTATAAAATGTATCTTCGTATTATTTTTTCTATAATGATCTTTGTATTAATTCTTTCTCTTTTCATTATAAAAAAATTCTTTTTCTTTATTTTATTAAATTTTGGAAATATAAGTAGAGAGAGATCCAAAGCGGATCAGTCAGATCAGATCGGATCCCTACCAAATATAAAACTGGACTAAAGGAGCAATTCAGGCCACATCATATTTGGCCCACCCCTCATTTTACCAGCGGCGGTGGTGGATTCAGGATTGGGAAGTCTGCTGCCTGCTTTTAAGCCCAGGGTAGGAATGGTGGGCCTGGCCTTTATTACGTCAATATCATATTTATTTTACTTTGATCCTGGCTCGCGGTCCAAATGGAATAATTTGGATTGGGTACTATAAGTTTCTCCAACCAAGGTTCAAGAGTTGGAAATTTGGAATTTTGCCTAGCATCTAACAATTGCTAAATAATAGGCTGGTGTTCAAATGGTGTGGTTATCATGGTAACCGTTTTAATCAGTATTATTTGGATAATTTTATTTGGTTAATTTAGATAATTGGTTTGGTTTGGTTAAAGTTTTTAGGTTGTTTGGTTTAGGTGGTTTGGTTTGGTTTCAGGCACTCAAACCAAATTAACCAGATAAATAATTAGCCATATATCTAATATATACACATACTTAATACTTTGAATAACCACTCAAGAGTTAAACGTTCATCTTTTTAGACTCATAAAATATAAAGTTTGAAACTGAAGCCAAAACAGTTTCGGATTGTACTAGAAGATAGGATTACAGTTTTAGGCAAAATCCGCATTTGATTAAAGAATGTCCAGTAACTATTCTCTTTCTTTTATAGAACACAACGCTCGCTTACACTTGAGCACACTCCTATGCTTGTTGCTTGTTGGTCAGACTTGTTCCGTTATGTCCTGCGGTCGTTTGGTTCAGGTACCTTAGACCGGCCTCTGTAGCCTCTTTCTTTTCAGCAGCTGACAGAATATATCTTGAATCATTACGCCGATATTGTTCCTATAATGTATATTTGTATATGTAGAGTGTAGACCACAACATACGAACGCCTAATTTAGATAGATCTCATACATTATGTTGGATGAAAACTTGAAAACAAGGTCCTTTTCAACCTATCAAAATTGCTAAAAGACTAATTCAATTCAAACAAGCACAACAATTCATTAACCCATACCATTGTGATAAATTTTTTGTTAGGTGAAAACTTCGATAATAACCGTAAGATAATTGTCTTAGTTGCATGTATTTATGTTAAGGGTCAACTATAACTATGTGTTGATTTTTATGTTTTATTCATTATATTTTTTTATGAGAATGTTTTATTCATTAAATAAATTGTGAATTGATAATTTAACCGAAAATTTTCTCACTTAATTATAATATAATTTTATATTGGTTAATCTGGTTAACCAATTAACCAAACCTATTAAATTTTAGTTTGGTTAATTTGGTTGTTGTATTAGTTTGGACGGTTTGGTTATGATATTGTATTTCCTGGTTAATGAAATTTAGCCTTATTTGGTTTGGTAATAACCATGGTAACCATTTGAACACCCCTACTAAATAATGCATTTGGCGTTTTAAGTCAATATATAAAAATTTTGGTATAAATAACAATTTTATAATATTTTTTTAACTGAGTTCAATTTTAAATGATTAGTAATTTAGCTAACTCTTAACGACAAACAAAATATGTCATGATTTTTTAGACTCGCAGGATTATATAAGTCGTGGGTTGGCTTGATATGAAGTGACGATGATGAAGAGCAATGCGGAGTAGGGGTGTAAATTTGACCCTAAAAACCCACTGACCCGTCCCGTCCCTGAGGGTTGGGACTAGGGATGACAACAAAACTCGAACCCACAAGTACCCTACCCGACCCAACCCGGTCAACGCTGGTTAACCCGTATATGACGGATTTTGGGTTTAAACCAGTTCACTATTCACTGGGTTGGGTTGGGTTTGGGTTTAGGTAAACCCGTCCGATGGGTACCCGCCCACACCCATATAATTAATTTTCCCGGTATATTAATATTCTAAACAACTAATTTTCTTTATGTTTATGGATACATGTCTAATTTTTTTCTTTCTAATTGCCTAGAATGAAGTTGATATTATCGAGTGCAGAGTGAAGAAGCTTAATTGACAAGGAGGAAGAAGATTTCAATTAATCATGCTGTTTATGTATAATTTGTGCTTTGCTTCAATTTTCTTGAGTTTTCTAGATTGGTGTTGAATAATTTGTATGGTTAATTTGTGATTTGCTTGAATTTTCTAGAATTGTATTTTATTATTGATAATTTGTGTTGAGAGATTGATATTTGACTTTTATTTTGATAGAAACTTGTTATTGTAAATTTTTTACCACAAAAACCCATGGGTACCCATGAACCCGCGGATACCTCAACGGGCTGGGTTGGGTTTGAGTTTTTCAAACCTAGTGAGTTTTACCCCCTTTTTTCACTAATAAACCCATGGGGTTGGGTTTATTTTTGGAAAAATTCGACTCATTGCCATCCCTAGTCGGGACGGGTCAGTTTGTCTATAGGGTTAGTTTAGGGACGGGTCAGCTTTTTACCCTATAAGGGTCGGGACGGGTCAGGTCAACTTAGGGACGAGTAACTTTTTGACCATGTGACCCTTAGTAACAACAAAAATCTCATACCATATTGGATCTCTTTGTAAAAGTTTAAAAAGTTTAGGTATACTAAATTGCAAAAATAAAAAAATTTGGGTACCAAAATGTAATTTTACCATAAAAATTGAAGGATTTATTTGTAAAAAAATAAATTATAGGTACTAAATTGTAAGAAAAAATAATTTTGGGTACCAAAATGTAATTTGTAAAAAAGTAGTGTGTAGATTAGGGTCGACCCATTGACTCGACTCGACCCGTCCCATCTCTTGAGGGTCAGACAGGGTCAAGAAGGAGACAGAGAAGGATCAGTTATACATCTTGACCTTTCAGGGACGGGTCAGACAGGGTCTGAGCTGGTACATGGACGGGTCAGGGCAAATTACAAAGGGTCTGGTCGACCAGAGTCCAGAGCTGGAGAAGAAATGAAGAAGTCGTTGATTGTGGCTGCTCTTTGGTTGACGATGGAGAAAAAATAGGCCAGAGGGTTGGGTCAACTTGAACTGGAGAAGAATTGAAATATTATTGGTTTGGGGGGTGCTCTGAAGCCGGTAACAACAAAAAGCAGGACAGAGGGCAAAGGGAATGAAGCGACAATGAGAATTCGTGTGATTTCTGATTTTTTTAGACTTTGTCTATTTGACCTAGAATTGCAGTTCCAAATCAAAAAAGGTGGAGTGAAGAACGCGTCTAATACAGGGAAAATAGAGATGGCGTCGTTTTGAAAAGATTAGTTATCCTTTTGTTAATCCTTAGTTCACAAGTAGCTTAAGTGGACATTACTTTGATTAATCATGTCTCACGCCGATTAATCATGTCTAGTTCCATTTAGGCATTAAGATCACCTAATTTTTATTGGTTCATTTTTTAGGATTTTCCGTGTAAATTTGGTGTTTTTTTATGTTTGTTCCTTCTCTTTTTTTGTGTTTGATTTCAATATTAAGTTTGCTTCCACTAATGCTTTTTTATCCATATTAAAAAGACAAGAAAAACAAAACAATGTGACCATTCCGCTTTATCACCCCATATTTTGCTATCATCCCTCTCCCCATTATCATTTTTCTGAATCTCCACACAATCAACATCACCATTTTCAACAATTTTCTCCATAACCGAGGTAAACCACAAAACAAAGAACATAGCAATCAATCCAAATTCACAAATAACTAATCTATCAATCACTAAATACATGCCATAATTCAAGAACATATTCAGAAAGTATATGGAGGGGAAGTCGAAATTACCTGCTGCGGGGAGATGGAGTTAGGCGTTTATGGAGGGGAAGTGGTCGGCGGCCGGCGGACTGGCGGCGGAGGCAGGGCGTCGGCGGCGGTTGCGTGGGCGGAGGCAGGGCCGGCTGGCTGGGCGAGGGCGACGACAGGATCGCGTGGGAGAGGCTGGGCGAGGCCGACGGCAGGGTCGCCGGGCGAGGGCGGCTGGTTGCGCTGGCGACGGCAGGGTCGCGCGGGGAGGCTGGGCGACGGCGGGGTCGCCGGGAGGAGGCGAGGCGGTAGATGTGAGGGGCGACGCAGGTCTCTGTCGAGAAGAAGATAGAAAATGGAATGGGTTGGGGGCGGCTGTTAAAGTAGGGTTTTGGGGGCGGTTGTGTTAAAAAAAAAGAATTTTTTTTGTTTCTGTGGGGATTCGAAAACTGGTATGTTTTAATGAAATCAAGCGCCCAACAAGTAGGAATCCCGTGTGCAACATGTTTAAGAATCAGATCCAAAGCTATAAATTGTTGTTTCTCATATTTGGGCCTTGTTGTGCAACTCTGATTCACAACAAAAAATAAAAACCCAACTAAACACATTTTTTTTCTTGGTTTTCCAAATTTCTTAAAACACAACAGGAAAAAAAAACAAGCAACAATACTAAACGGCACTTTCTTGCTCAAAATTAACTGCCCATTTCGATCAATCACCCAAGTTTTAGTCTGACATATATATGCTTACTGTCTATACACTTTTTGGTGAGGATGAGGTTTAGCTGTTCGAAAAGTGCTGTAACGACATATGGTTTGGATCATACAGATTACAGAATGTTTCTCAACAATATATCCAGTCACTGTATGCAAGTTGAATCTTGAGAAAGGAGAGGAATGCGTTCATTGATCTGTCCTAAGAATTCTTCACCATTAAAATAACAAATGAAGCGCCGCTTAGCTCAGAATCATCGCCCAACAAGGCTCAATTGGGAAGCTTTCGATCTGGCCTATAAATCTTGGATCCCAACATAGACAACGCCGGTAAAACACCTACAGTTTCCCCGCCAGCCCAAACACCCCCCAACATTATTCAACAACATATATAAATACAAAACTACATTCCACACCCCAATAATTACTAACTCAACGGTACGTTGATCAAAACAAGAAGAGAGAAACTACTAGAGGAGGGGATGAATTACTCAGCCATCTCCGCGGCGGCGCCGGCCCCATTCGTGCTCCCGCTGAACCTGGCCGCAGACGAAGGCAGCCCGGAATGGATGAGCAAAGGCGACAACGCGTGGCAGCTCACCGCAGCCACCTTAGTGGGCCTCCAGAGCGTGCCGGGCCTGATCATCCTGTACGGCGGCGGGGTCAAGAAGAAGTGGGCCGTGAACTCGGCCTTTATGGCCCTCTACGCCTTCGCGTGCGTGCTCTTCTGCTGGGTCTCGTGGGGGTACCGGATGTCGTTTGGCGACACGTTGCTGCCGTTTTGGGGGAAGCCCAACGTGGCGCTCACCCAGGACTTCCTCCTCCAGCAGACGTACGGCGGGTACAAGTTCCCCAATGCTACGATGGTTTACTTCCAGTTCGTGTTCGCCGCCATTACTTTGATCTTGATCGCCGGCGCGGTGCTGGGGAGGATGAATTTCTACGCCTGGATGATGTTCGTGCCGTTGTGGCTCACGTTCTCGTATACGATTGGGGCTTTTACGATATTTTGTCCCAATGGGTTCTTGTTCAAGAAGGGGCTCATTGATTATTCCGGTGGGTATGTGATTCATTTGTCGTCTGGTGTCGCCGGCTTCACTGCTGCCTACTGGGTAACGTATTTTATATATTATCCCTATCCTAACAAGATTCATCGTGTGAAAATATTTTTGTGTTACGATGATAAGATAAATGTTTAACGATATAATGACTTCCATGAGTTATTCGTATTAGTTGGTTTATAACATGATATTATAATTGATTTGTGTTTGAGGTTACGTGTTCAAATTTTCACGATTTCTAATATAAGTCGTTGTTTTTAAAACACATGGATTAGTTGGTTTTTGTTTGGTACGACGTGTAAGAAAATGATTAACTACCATACATCGACCTCTCCCAACAACTCAATTCAAGTTATTTGGACAGATTGGTTCTTGACATTGTAAGACAGCTTTCTGTGACTAAGAGATTTTCTGTTCGAATCTCATTAACCTTCATTTGTTAAGTACATAATATTCAAATTTGTGCAGACGTTTAACACATATGAATTAATACGAGTTAATTTTTGGTCACATTCTCATTTTCTTTTGACAGGTTGGGCCACGTTTGACAAAGGACAGAGAGAGGTTCCCGCCGAACAACATCATTCTGATGCTATTCGGAGCCGGGATGCTGTGGATGGGCTGGACCGGGTTCAACGGCGGCGACCCGTTTGCAGTCAACGTGGACGCCTCGCTGGCAGTGCTGAACACACACGTCTGCACAGCCACGAGCCTGCTAACGTGGCTTACGCTGGACATCATCTTCTTCCGGAAATCTTCCATCATCGGCGCCATCCAGGGCATGATCACCGGCTTGGTGTGCATCACCCCTGCCGCCGGTAAGTAATTATTATACGACTGATTTTCTTGTAACATTTTTTCCGATGAGTGATTCATCTAGTTGACTGTATTTGATTTTGTTTACCACCACAGGCGTGGTGCAAGGATGGGCCGCAATCATAATGGGCCTGTGCTCGGGCTCGATCCCGTGGTTCACGATGATGGTGGTCCACAAGAACTGGGAGCTCCTCCAGAAGGTGGACGACACGATGGCCGTGTTCCACACCCACGCCGTGGCGGGCTCGCTGGGCGGGATCCTGACGGGCCTGTTCGCCGAGCCCAAGCTCAACGACCTGTTCTACGCCACGTACGGGGAGTACATGGGGCTGTTCTACGGGTTCAACATGGGCCAACTCCGGCTCGGGTTTCGCCAGGTCGGGGTCCAGCTGCTGGGCATCGTCTTCGTGGTGTGCCTCAACGTCGTCACCACCTCCATCATTTGTCTGCTGATTCAGCTGGTGGTGCCGCTGAGGATGTCGGAGGAGGACATGGAGATCGGGGACGAGGCGGCGCATGGGGAGGAGGCCTATGCGATTTGGGGCAGCGGGGAGAAGCATGAACAGAGAGATTTGAGCATGTAGATCCATTGTAACACATGCGACGCGAAAAGATCGTGATTTGAGCTCGTTTTAACAACGGAGTTCTATGAGTTAAGCAGACGAGCGAATTCAATCGAAAATCGATTAAGCCAGAGAATAAATTTTGTCGTCTTAAGTAAGATGACATGGAGCTTCTTAACACGTCTGGATATTTTTTTTTCTTTGCATTTTGGTTTTTTTAGGTGGAGTTATAAGCAATTAATCTGCCTGTTGGTGATGAATAAAATGGGCTGGGTGTAACTCTTCACCTGTTATTTTGGGTGTTAGAATGCTAGTGATGTTTTGATAATTTTGGATTGAAAAAGTGTTTTTAATTTTATGTTGGATATAAATTAACCTCAAATGTGTGTGATTTGGTTTAAGTATCCAAAGTGTAACTACTCTTTTTTGTTGTGTGATGCAATACCAATTATGACAAGTCATTCTTGAAAGGAGCTTTTAAGCTCAAGTTTAATTATGTATTTCCTTAATCAACTTGGTATATTATTGTTTAAAAAAAATTATTTCATACTTTCTCGTGTAAAGTTTTAAGATATCCCGCCGCCTCGAAGCACTCTGGGCAAAAGTGGGCTCTCTCCAGATTTCAAGCCTGTCGTATGGCTACTATGTGGTGCGATTTACCAACCAAATGGATTACGAACAGGCTTCCGTTGGTGGACCATGGCTCATCGGCCAACACTATATCACAGTCCGTCCATGGCGAAGAGGTTTCAACCCAAAACTGGTCGAAGTGGCCTCAACAATGGTATGGGCACAGTTACCCGAGTTGCCGGTGGAGTTCGTGAACAAGGAAGCAGTGGAACGTATTGGAGCCCGGATTGGTCGCCCGGTGCGGGTTGACCGTGCAACCATGACTGGAGATCGAGTGAAATTCGGACGAGTTTGTGTGGAGGTCGATCTTACCAAACCTCTGCTCTCACAGTACAAAATCGAGGGAACTACGTACTACATTAAGTACGAGGGACTCCACAATATATGCACAGAGTGTGGCCATTATGGTTACTCAGTCCAATCGTGCCCTACACTCAGGAAGGTGGTTCCCCCAGAACCGACCCCAGTCTCTCCTACGACGGCGGAGACTCCAGTTAAGGAGCAAATCTACGGTGAGTGGATGATGGTAAAGCCAAAGAATAACAGAAATCAAGCAACCAAAAACAAGGGTGGCTGTGGCTCGCGTGAGAGAGTGTTCACGGGCTACCCCGGAAGCTGGAGCTCTCGTTTTAACGCGTTGGAACAAGAAGAGGTGGCTACCATGGTAGCATAGTCTACCGAAGCATCAGAGGTGGCAAATATAGCAAGGCAAGCGGGAAAGGTCCAGACCCCAGTTGGCCAGAAAGATAATACCGCTCAGCAAACATTGCTGCCTGCGGGGAAAGAGACCCCAATAACATCAGTTTTACAGGACTCAACCTTTTCTACTAGGAGCACCACGACTTTGTCACAGGGCCTCGTGAGTGTTCCGGTGTCTCAAATGCCTCACGACGACTCGTTTCGAGCTGCACCTGGTGCTAGTGGAAAAGGCAGGTCGGGTAAAGAGGGGGCAAAGGATGGGGCCAAACCCAAGAAGAACACCTCCACTGGAGCTGCACAGGTTAAAGGAACTAAAAGGGGGCTGGGAGAGCGCCCTGTGAACAGGGTTGCCGGCAGCCACGTTCACACCTCGAGTCAACCAAAAGATGAGACCCCAAGACAGAGTGTGCTTGTGTCCTCCGAGGGAGTGCATGCTCCCGTGCCCATTGATCACTAACGGCCTTAGGCCGAGTTTCAGGGAAGCCTCTTTCTTCCCATCTCCGCACTTTATGTGCTGGTTTGAGGTTCTTTTTAAGCCTTACTTATGTTAGACATCTTGTCGTGGAACTGCCAGAGGGCAGGCTATGACCGTTTCGTTGCTCATCTCCTTTCGTTTTGTGGGCCTCATAGGCCGGACTTAGTGTTTATTTTCGAGCCTCGTATTAGCGATGACCATGCTCGCCAGGTCATTGCAAAAATAGGCTTTGATGGATCTCTCATTGCTGATGCTGTGGGTTTTGCAAGGGGCATTTGGGTGTTATGGCGTGAGTCTAACCTGGAAGTCACAGAAATTACCAGATGGGAGCAGATGATTCACATGAAATGTGCTCGTCGAGGAGGTTCGGGCACCTCAGTTCTAGTATCGGCAGTGTATGGCAGCCCTCATGCTCTCCCTCGAAATGAGTTGTGGGCTGAGCTTAGACGACTGTCGGGTGACATATCCCTGCCGTGGTTGCTAACAGGCAATTTCAACTCCATCCTCAGCCCGAGAGACGGAATGGGGGGCGCGGAGTACAACGATTACCGTACACGGGCCTTCCGCAGCTGTGTAGATGATTGTGCTCTACTTGAAGTTGGATTCACTGGTCCCAGATTCACTTGGCGTAGAGGAAATATTTCTCAATGACTAGATCGTGCACTGTGTAACAGGAGGTGGTTAGTCAAGTTTCCCAGCACTACCACCTATCACCTTCATCGCCTGGGCTCTAATCACCGTCCCATTCTAGTCAAGGCGGCTCCTTATGCTGCTGCTCGATTGTCACGGCCTTACCGTTTCTTGGCAGCCTGGCTCACCCACCACGATTTCCCGAGATTTTTGGATGAAGCTTGGCAGAAAGAAGATACATTCCCTTTACAAACTCAACAACTTTCCGACGATCTGGTACGGGAACTGTGAGACTTTTGGGCACATCCTGAGGAGAAAGAAAGAGCTGATAAAGCGCCTCAGCAAGTTAGAAGAGCAAAATGAGCAGAATCCCTCCGCGTCCTCTTTGGAAGAGGAGACCACCACGAGACAGGAGCTGGATTCGACCTTGTGGCAGGAGCAGTGGCTATGGTTTCAAAAATCTCGTCCACAGCTTATAGTTCATGCAGACCGGAACACTCGCTTTTACCACCTCTCGACATTGAAGCGAAGGAAGTTTAACAAAATCATCGGTCTCAAGGATGACACAGGGACTTGGGTCTATGATGAAGCGGAATTGAGGGCTATGGCGCGATGTTTCTATGTCACCCTCTACACGGCGCTGGACGGGGATAGCTCTCCCATCCCAGCTTACTTTGACAAGATTGACGACAGTACGACAGCCTTTCTTGAGAAGAGACTTTTGGACGGCGAGATTTGGTCAGCATTAAAGGGCATGGGAGGTTTTAAAGCCCCGAGAATTGACGGTTATCCCCCCATCTTCTATAAGAGATGTTGGGACACGGTGGCAGGCTCCTTCTGTCAGTTTGTGAGGGATTGTTTCTTGCTCCCCTCGATGATTCGCAGAGTCAACGAAACCCTTCTTTTCCTCATTCCCAAGAAGGAGAGTCCTGAGTCAATTGCTCAGTTCCGACCGATCAGGCTTTGCAATGTGGTGTATAAAACTCTGACAAAATGCTTGGTGAACAGAATTAAACCTCTTATGCGGAAAATAGTGCATCCGACTCAAACCAGTTTTGTCCCTAGCAGGAGCATTTCGAGTAATATCATAATCCTGCAGGAGGTGGTCCATTCGATGGGGCTCAAAAAGGGGCGCAGGGGACATATGGTGGTGAAGCTGGACCTGGCCAAGGCTTATGACAGGCTGAGCTGGAGTTTTATCCAGGAGATGTTGGGCGCAGCTGGTTTTTCGGACAAGTTCTTTGCGGTCATCATGCAATGTATCACTTCGTCCTCCACGCAAGTACTTTGGAACGGTAACTGCACTGAGCCGTTTTCTCCTTCCCGAGGTCTCCGGCAAGGATGCCCGCTCTCTCCGTATATCTTCACTTTATGCATGGAGTGGTTGAGTCATTTAATCGAGAAGGAGGTGGAGTCTGGTAAATGGAGGCCAATCCGGACGAATCCAGGTGGCCCACCCCTATCCCATCTTTTTTTTGCTGACGATCTCATTTTGTTTTCAGAAGCAACTGAAGCTCAGGCACGGGTCATGTGAGACTGCTTGGATCGTTTCTGCTTGGCGTCTAGGCAGCATGTCAGCAAGGATAAATCTGTTGTGTTCTTCTCCTCCAACACGCGGCGACCGGAGAGCCAGGCAATTTCTCAGGTACTTGGTATACGAGCTACACAAGACCTTGGAAGGTATTTAGGCGTGCCAGTTTTGCAAGGGAGGGTGAATAAGGTAACATACAAGTATATACTCGATCGGTTGGATAACAAACTGGCAGGTTGGAGGGCGAAGAACCTAAGCCTTGCTGGACGGGTCACGCTCTCGATTTCCGTCCTCAGCTCCCTCCCTGCCTATGCGATGCAGACCACGTTGTTACCCCAGGCCATCTGCGATCTGGTTGACAAGAAAATACGCAATTTCATATGGGGATCAACGGAAGCTGGACGGAAAATTCATTTGGTTCATTGGGAAGGTCTATGTAAGCCGATGGAAGCAGGTGGGCTGGGTCTCAGAAAGGCTCATGAAATGAACTTGGCTTTTCTAACCAAGCTAACCTGGCTATATGTTAAAAAGCCAGAGGAGTTGTGGGTGCGTGTTTTGCAGGCCAAATACTTCAAAACTGTGGGAGGAGCCCTTCAGGCTAAATCTATGGCGCGAGCATCGAATCTATGGAGGGGGATGCGGAAAGCCTGGCCGATCATGGTTAGAGGGATGAGGATGAGCATTAAGAATGGGAGGGATACTAACTTCTGGGAAGATAGATGGCTTGACAGCGGAGAACGTTTGATTGATCATGTTCAGGAATCTGCCCAAACCATCTATCCTTCCCAGGCAGTGGCAGACTTTATTCTGCCGAGTGGTGAGTGGAACACTCCCCTCCTACAAACTTTTCTTCTTAATTATATGGTTTTGCAGGTAGTGGGCATCCAACCACCTAGGAGTGACTTGGGGGAGGAACTCGCAGTCTGGGGACCCCGAGTGTGACGGGCGGTTTCTTGTGAAGTCCGCCTATCGAATCGCAATAGAACTCGACGAGTCAGCACCAACACTGGATTGGAAGACCTTCTGGCGGTGGAGAGGCCCAGCTCGCGTCAACCTCTTCCTCTGGTTAGCAGCCAAAGATCGCCTTCTCACCAACAGCGAACAACAGCGGAGACACTTGATGAGAGATAGCTTCTGCACGTACTGCCGAGAAGCTCCAGAGACAACCCTGCATGTGTTGCGGGATTGTCATTTCTCCAAGTTAACTTGGTTGCATCTCATCCAGCCTTCTGACCACCAAACTTTTTTCGGAATGAGTCTGCAGGATTGGCTCCTGACCAACATCAAGAATCAGCACCATTGCCTTGAGTTTGGCATTACCTGCTGGTCTCTTTGGAAGACTAGGAATGATCGAGTCTTCGCAGGCAAGATCGTTTCAACTGATGAATTTTTACAGCGCGTCCTGGCATGGATAAATGTCGTGCGGAATGCCATGGACAAGGACAGGCTCACCCATATGCCTAGCCAACCCATAAGAATGGAGGTGGAGATCTCATGGCAGCCACCACCTCCCGAGTGGGTTTCTCTCAATACGGATGGCTCCGTTCATACTGACACTCACCACGCTGCTGCAGGTGGTTTGATACGAGATCATACAGGATGTTGCTTGGCAGCATTCGCTAGCAACCTGGGTATGTGTTCCATTACCCGGGCAGAGTTGAGAGGCGCTGTGGAGGGTCTTCAGTTGGCTTGGAACCTCGGACATCGACGAATTAGAGTGGAGTTGGATTCTCAGTGTGTAATTCAACTTCTCTCGTCGCCGGACACGTCAGATCATCAACATGCAACCATCATCCAGAGGTTTTCCGAGCTCATCCAGCTTGATTGGGAGGTGACGTTACATCACATCTATCGCGAGGGTAACAAGTGTGCTGATTTTCTTGCGAATCGCAGACATTCTATGCCCTTAGGCACCCACTGTGTTTCAGTTTCCGATCTTGTTTTACATTATTGGCTTTTGTATGACAGTCAGGGGATCTCTGAACCCCGTTTGGTTTTGAATGAAGGCTGAAATGCGCTGCATCCATTTAAAAAAAAAATTTTAAGATATTATTTATCTTGTAAATTATGTTTACAAGACGTCTATGTTAAAATTATTTTGTTTAGACTTGTTCTCTGAGTCTCGACTATTCACATTATATTTGAACAAATGTCTAACTCAAACTATTATCTATATTAATTTTTGTCCTAAAAATTGGCTCCCTTCCCTTCTCTTTATTTTACGTTTATAGAATTTCAACCAAGAGTCCAAGACAAACAGAAAACAAATGTATATGGGAAAGTTTACAATAATCCTTAAACTTATGCACCAAAAATGTAATTTCGCTCATCCTTAGTACCCTTCGGAAATCTCACAGTTTGCTGTAATGTGGCCGTCGGCGACTTGGCGCTGAAGCCTGAAACTGATTGTCAAGCAAATAGAGCATATAAAAGAAAGGCGCGCAGCAAATTCAATAGCTGGCAACGGCGATTTGTAGAAGAAGTTGAAGCCTTCGCACTGTTCTCGGGCGCCGCTCGATTGTTTCCGCCGTCAGTGTCCTTGCCTACCTTCGTCTCGTTCCTTGCGCAGCTACCTTCAGTTGCCCCCTGAAAGTCTTCCTACTGGTAAGAGTAGCTCTTTTCTTAGGAACCCAGTATCTGTGTTTCAATAAAGTCTTGATTTTTCATTGAAATTGTCCCAGTTCAGTTTGTGAGCCCCCTATTTATGCCAGCATGAAATTTTTGAAGTTCAGCAGGTCATATTACCGAAAATTTTCATTAGGGTTCTTGTGTTTGTTAAATAAATGATCTATGCATTTTCTTTTCATGTAATTTAATTCGGTTTCAGGCTTTTGATTTATCTCCAGTGACTGTAAACTCTTTGCAGTTACATACTGATTAGTTGTAGCAGTATGGTTAACCTTTTTCTCACAGTGACTAATGGTTGCAAGTTTGATCCATGCATGTTCTGGAAAATCAGAATACATAACTGGAGAACTTGTTTATCAGTTAATTAGAGAGTTATAGGGTGAGGGAGAGTTAGCAATGGAGGAAAGTTTTCTCAAACAACAAGATGAGCCATGGCGGATCCTCGAATTCTATAGTGGCATTGGTGGCATGGTACACATTGGCACTGGTTCTCTATCCTAATACCCTATGCTTGCTCATGTGAAGTACATCTAGTGATATGTTTCCTTTGTTTTGTATGGCATGTCCAGAGGTATTCTCTAATGAAGGCTGGCGTGAAAGCAGAAGTAATGGAAGCATTTGACATTAATGACACAGCCAATGATGTTTATGAGCACAATTTCCGACATCGCCCTTATCAGGTGCGAAAACCCATTTGTCTTGTGGTATTTGGCACATTTTTACTATCTAAGTGGATGGTTGTATTGTGTGCTGGAGAATGATTAACAGCACTTGAAACCATTGTATTGCAGGGTAATATCCAGAGTTTGACTTCTTCTGATCTTGATAGCTACCGTGCCGATGCATGGCTTCTTTCACCTCCTTGTCAACCCTACACCAGACAAGGTTAGAAGACCCATTTAGCTTGTTTTTCGTGTTTTACTTGTTATTGATTTATGGATGATTTTGCTGAACATGCTTATATTAGGTCTGCAGAAGCACTCAGGTGATGCTAGGGCCTTTTCATTTCTCAGGATTCTTGAACTTATACAAGAGGCAAAACGGCCTCCAAGTATGCTGTTTGTGGAAAATGTTGTAGGATTTGAGGTGTGTTCCTTAATATATTTGCTGAGTTTTCTCAAATCCAGTAATTGTCATTTGTGTTATTGACGGATTTGGCTTTTTGGTTGTAGACGTCTGACACACGAGCAAAAATGATTGAGATATTAGTGAATTCAGGTTTCATCACCCAAGAATTTATTTTGAGCCCTTTACAGTTTGGTGTGCCTTATTCCAGGCCACGCTACTTTTGCTTGGTAAACCATCGAACCCCCTCCTTTGATTACTCGACTTTGTTCTTCTTTGCATCAGTTATCATAATTCATAAACCATTGTCATTTCGTACCTTGAATGCTCAATAGTGTCAGAAATTAGTAATCTCTTGCTCGATTCTTATGTGACCGCAGATTATAGAATGCCAATCCTTTAATGCTCATTGTTGTCATTGAATTGTGCTAGATGTCTCAGGGGAACAAATAACAAAATAAATGTGGAACGAGTTGGATTCTAACTGTATATTCTTCACCCTGCAGGCCAAACGAAAACCTTTATCCTTCCAGCACCAAGTCTTTAATAATCGGCTCATCTGGTCTCCTATCCCATTACTTCAGTGTAATGCAAATATTCTACTCGGTCAACTCGAGGAACCACCAGAAAGCTTGGACAAGTTGCTGGATTCCTGTGAACCTGTAGAATGTTTTCTTGAGTTCAAGGGCTTGAGCGACCTGGTAGATGCAGAAGGAAGAACCACAACCAGTACTTCTGCTGTTGATTTTGGAGCAGTGGAGCATGGCAGTGGAAGCCTTAGCATGTTGGACCAGTATTTGGTTCCACAAAATCTGATCGATAGGTGGGGCAGTGCTATGGGTATCCTTTTAACTATTGTGCTTTCTCGTCATCGTTCTATTTCCATCACTCGTCAACTTTAGCAAGAAATTCACTCCCAAGAAAAAGTTCCTTATGGATTCTAGATATCGTCTATCCTGATTCAAAGCGTTGCTGTTGTTTTACAAAGAGTTATTATAGATATGTGAAAGGCACTGGATCGCTTTTGGCTACTATCCAGGTAAAGTCTCACTAATCCTATCTGTTAATATATTTAAACTCCTTGATGTATAGCACATCAAGTTTATTTTTAATACTCTTAGACTTTGTAGTTAAAGGCCTGCTAGTTAGCAGTTTTTCAGTTCTGGACCTTAAGTAGAAAGAATCCAGTCATAGATTGCATTAGATCATTGTTTCTGGTTGCTTGACTACTCACGTTGGGTCCTTGGCTATGTTGGTTACTTGAACCAATTTGTAACTCATTCTAGACGGTGCTCCGATGAATGTTTTATCATGTCTGACCTGAGGTGTGGAAATGAATGTGCAGCCAGTGGAAAAGGGTAAAACTTGTCCGCTGAAGGAGCAAGGACTTAGATACTTCACTCCGAGAGAGGTAGAAGAATTTGCTCTTTTATCCACTCAATATCTAGTTACCTCCCTGACTGTTCTGATCGACTTATTCTTGATCATGACCAGGTCGCCAATATGCATTCCTTCCCTGTGGAGTTCCAGTTCCCTGAGCACATAACCCTCAAACAACGGTATGTTAGCGTTTTTCGTCCTGTTTACGATCTAAGTATATGGTACCACTATTATCTGAAATGCTTCATCTCTCTGGTGTTTGCAGTTATGCGTTGCTGGGGAATAGTTTAAGCGTAGCAGTCGTCGGTCCGCTGCTCAGTTACCTATTCAGGGAGCCATCGTGAAGTTTTGAAACGCAAATCTGTGTTCTACAGATGTAAAATTGCTCCAACGGCCAAGCCATGATCAGGCATATCACCCCTTGTGGATTAGATGTTGATGCAAACATAGAAAGAAGAAGGGTGGGGAACAGAATGTCAATGGTTCAGCTTTGTTATTGTGCCTTTTGGCGTTGGGCTGCTGGGCACCTACGACCTGGAATGCCACATGCGTCAGTCTCTTAATTATTAGTTTTCTAACTCGAGTTTTTTGTGGGTTTCTATTGAAGTCAATGACTGGTATGTTTAACTTAACAAAATTGCTGAATGGGATCTAGTGTGATTTGAATTTGAATTACTTAGGTTTCTGAACCAGATAGGGCTACTAGTACATGCAGAAAAAAGAAGCCATTAAATTATATCTGGCTCCTTCCTTCCCTGTCCCTGGAGATATAAGAAGCCATTAAATCTATGGGAATAGCAGCAAGCAAAGCGCAGAAAGCAGCCAGACGCAGTTGTTTGAGACGAGTCAATTATCAATGTTTGTTTCTTTGCTACAATCACTAGCTAACCACCCTCCCTCACGTCACATGGTTGAAATTGAATAAGAACCCCATCCCTTCTATGTTCATAATTGCCATTTGCTGAATAATGAAGAACTTTTGGGAAAAGGGTATTTACTTTAATACAAAATGAACCTTAAACTAGAACAGATCCTGCAAAGTCGGCATGCAAGCTCGATCGAGCTAGTACATGCATTATTAATTGTAGTGGTGGGTTTGAGAGGATTGCGAACCGGCCCATCTACGGGTTCACCCAAGTTCCGCCGGATGTAGCTCCCACTAATCAGCACAGTGCACATGGTTCCTGTCCTGGCCAATTTCCAATCTTGTTAACATGCAACAAGTTTGAATTCCCTTCTGCTCCTGCTCAGGATTTTTCAAATTCTCCTCGAAAGAAATTTGCATCAGAGTGCACGTGGATGGGTATATGAATTGATTGCTTCTGTCTTTAATTCTGTGATTATAATATAAGGTTCCTGGCCTTTGGCTACGTTGACCAGTATAATCTCTCACGGTATAGTAAAGGATGATCAATTATATATGTTCTTAGCACATTGTAGTTCTCCATTTCTGAGTTTCATCAATCGGTATACGATCCAATAACATGTGAATCTTTTTCAAGAACTAATTCGTTCCAATAATTCGAATTGTTGGGAGTTCTGCAATTATAAATCTTACACCACGTACTAATATGATCTCTCAAACGAAAACTACTCATATAGACTTCAAGTTTGTACAGGCATCAGACACCATGTGCTTTGAATGAGGTTTACCGGGGTTCAAACAAAAGATCTATTGGTAATAGAAGACTCTGATACAATTTCAAAAACCAATTAGTCTCATTAACTCGAGATATTAACAATGATTTAATAATGAATCTTATACCACATACTTACACATTAAACTTCTTGCTTAATTGATCATTATATTTGATGAGGCTGAGACCAATGAACACTGCAAGTTCAAATGGCGAATCAATTCTCAGGGGATCACTACACCAAAGACTTCATTGATGGGAGGTATGCAAATTTTGGGGATTGAGAAATTTATGTGCCCAATGACCTTTTCCTCTTATGGGTTCTTACCAAAAGTTTTAATAGTAGTAACTTGTGAAATTGTAGATACTGATATTTGAGATGTGCCAAACATTCTTCTCTGTACCCAGACAGAAGAAAATTAGAGACAATTTGGGACAAACCTTATTGAAAATCTCTTCTGAGGGGTGACATTTGTAACTTTACCTTGTGTTAACGGATGACGTAGGTTTGAAGTGGGTTAAGATTGAATCCACGGGTCTCTAGAGTTACTATTACTCAGCTTCAGTTCATTATCAAGCAAACCAGATTAAGATGGAAGAACCAAAACTATTCTAGCAAACTACAGTTAAAGTTAATCTAATTACAGGTTGGGAACTCACTTAGGTATGATTCCCCTTAGATTGCAGTTAGGCCAAGCTGTAATTCACCCAATTCAATTCAACGGACATCTACAATGCGGAAAGTTCTCAAACAGTCTGGAGTCTCGGCTAAAGTGTTCCAAACCCTCTCAGTTCGAAAACCCGACGGACGACTAACCTCCACCGGCGAAAGCTAACCGAGACACTATCACACAAAACTTCCTCTACTGGATTTTAACTCTAGTACAGAGCAGTGAATCGACTTCTCGACTAAAGTCGACGATTCACCACTTCCAATTCAGGATGCTCTTTCAACCTATGCAGAGACATTCTAGGTCAAAGCAGGAATCACACGAATTTGATTAGGATTCAAGCAATTCTGAATAAAAACCTCAAATGAATATAGAATTTCAATCAATCATGAATTCGAGTTCATACAACTCTTCCTAGCATACAAATCTAGGGTTCCTCAAAACCTAAGTGAAGGGAAGTTACTCCATAGAGAAGAGAGAGAATGGAGTATAACTTTCCAGATCTTCAATCTTAATGTCTGGGCTTGTTCCTCGAGCTTCCAAGGCGAAGAAATCCTCCACGATCGCCCTCAAATCACTCTCTCTCTCTCTCTCTCTCTCTCTCTCTCTCTTTGGTTCGTCCCTTGGATGTTTGGGAACCAAAACTCAGCTCCCCCCTGTAAAAACGCACAAAATAGCCTTTTAACTGACTGCGTTCGTGAAACCCGGTCCAAATACCCGGTCGGGTATTTAGGTAACCGGCCGGGTATCAACAAAGTGCACCGGGTCACTTTTCCGGGCAAAAGGGAAAATACCCGGTCGGGTATTTTTGGGTCGCGACCGGGGGGTCATCTGATGCTGTCAGAAATACCCTATAAGATGGTCAAAATACATGGTCGGGTATTTTTTTATAATGATGATGAACTTAAATTAAATGAACGAAACCAAATGAGAGTAAAGGTACAGAGCCCCACAAGGAGTGAGACGAGGGGGAAAAAGTCAACAAAAGCCAATGCAACCTCTCTGAAGAGAGTAAAAAGAAGAGGCGAGGAAAAAACTAGGAAAAACATAAGGGGACAGAAAACAAGTCCAGGAAGTAGATCACCCAGCAGAAGAGTCTCTACGAGCGAGGCAATCCTGAAGGAAACGCACCCCATGAGCCTTGTCGATCTTCTTATGCGCAGAGATCCAATCAACAATAGCTCTGGTGATCTTCTTAGCTACCACCAGGTGAGGACAGCAAGTCTCCTGAAAAATTCGCTGGTTTCTTTCTTTCCACACATACCAACAGATCGCATGAGTGGCACATGAGATGTACCAAGCCTCAATACCCTCCAGATTATTAGGTTCATTGTGATTGATGACCATGGAGATATCTCCCGAGAAAAATCCGGGAGAATAATGTTGCTAAACACCTCTTCCATACGCGCATGGTGAAGCAGCAATCCACCATGATATGATTGGTTGATTCTTCTTTCGTGTAACAAAGAACACACTGATTGGCCAGCTGCATGCCTCGTTTCTTCAAGTTGTCGAGAGTGAGTATCTTCTTGTCCCAAACAAGCCATAGAAACCCGCAAACTTTTGTTGGGATCACACTTTTCCAAATGAATATGTACTTGAAGTTCTCATCCCCAACAAATTTGCCATCCACTTGAAACCTGTAGAAAGAGCTAACAGAAAACAAACAATTTGCATTTGGGTTCCAAACCATACGACTAGGGCTATTTGTGATTCTATAAGAATTGGCCATAACTTTATCCAAACAACCCACTCTCTCAATTTCAGCCCCACCCCTTAAAGAAAAAGAAAATGGAATTTCCCACACAATTTCCTCACCTGACCGGGACACGGAGTCAGCAGACTAGCATTCGAAAGAGCAGCGGCAGCAGCAACCCACGAAAAGGAGTTGGCCAACAAGACTCCATGGATCCAAACGTCGTGCCACAAAGAGATAGTAGAACCCAGACCAGGCTCAATAGATGCCCCTTTCCAAAACAAGTCACCCACCTTGCAAATGTTAGCCCAAACTAAACTGCTAAACCCTTCATCAATCATTCTGGTTTTCCATTCAGAAACAGAACTAGAGTATTTGACACCAATAAGCTGCCTTCACCAACTTTCTCTCTCAGTGGCATATTTCCACATCCACTTCCCAAGCAAAGCATTGTTGAAGCTTTCAAGATCAACAACACCCAAACCACCCTTTTGTTTAGAGGCTTTGCAAAGGTCCCACCTAATGAGATGCAACTTGCTTTCCTGGTTCCCTCCACACCAAAGGAACCTTCTTTGAATCTTCTCCATCGTGTTAAGAACTGTTTTAGGTGCTTTCATCAATGAGAAGTGGTAGACAGACAAACTGTTGAGAATGGATTGATCAAGACCAGCCTCGAACCCAAGGATAGAAATCTACTCCTCCACCCCTGTAACCGATTTTGATATTTATCAATGGCCGGGTTCCAAATAGATATGGAGTTCGGGCGATCGCCCAAAGGAAGTCCAAGGTACTTCGTGGGTTCAATACTCCAATTGCAACCAAAGATTGCAGCAAGGAAACTAGGCTCGGGAACATCTCCAACAGTAAACATCAATGACTTGTTGAGATTGAATTTAAGCCCTGTAACCGACTGAAAGCAGACCAAAGTAGCAAGAAGATTAAGAACTTGATCGGCAGAAGCATTACAGAATATAAGGGAATCATCAGCGAATAGAAGATGCGTAACTTCGCCTCTTCCCCCGCTCTCATCTATGAAGAAACCAAATAGACCATTCACCCCCCGAAGTTTCGAGATCATATATGACAGTAAATCCATCACCAATACGAAAAGCCCAGGGGAGAGGGGATCACCTTGCCGAACCCCTTTTCTAGCACGAAATTAACCATAAGCTTCCCCATTAACAAGGATGGACGTTATTGGAGAGCACATATCACCTTTAATCCACTGCTACCATTCACTCGGGAAACCCAAATTATCCAACACACTGAACATACACTCCCAGCTGACATATCAAAAGCCTTCTCAATATCAAGTTTGAACATGAGGTCTGGCTTTCTACTCTTTCTTCTGCTGTCCACAAGCTCGTTAGCAATGAGAGTAGCCTCAGAGATATGTCTCCCACGAACAGAAGCATGCTGATTTTGAGTGACCAGCTTATGAGAGCATAACTCAGCCGTTTCATCAAAACCTTAATCACCAATTTATCAAAACTTTTCATTAAGCAAATAGGTCGGAGATCTTTGACGCTTTCTACTACATCCAATTTCGGAGTCAAACAAATGAAGGCATGAGTAATGCTATCCGGAAAATAACATGTTTCATGAAAATCCCCAAAGGCCTGCACCACCTCATTCTTATTGAGCATCCAACATTTCTTATAGAAGTCAAATTTAAAACCAACCGTCCGGGGGCCTTAGATCCATCGCTCGACACCAAAGCATCCCAGATTTCTTCCTCGCTGAAGGCCCGAATCAAGTGACTGCTTTCTTGCAAGTTCAGCCTAGAGGAAGCATA